ACAGAGTTTTATTTGTCTGCAAACGCTGTGTCTCACACAGTGATGTTGCTAGGTCCGCGTCCTGCGTCCCTGACACATTAAAATCTGAAAGGACGCAGTAAACTCACTGTCCATGCGTCCCAGGGACGCAACTCATTTTTCCCATGAAAAACGAAACATTGTGAACAACAACTCGTGTTTAAAATCACAGTAACTAGCAAAAGTAACTTCGCTGTCAGCAGACCAGGCAAGCGCTGTTTCAACCCTCTGCACATCTCCTCCGCGCAGACGTGATCCCCCGTGTACAGTATCGCGACATGCTAGTTTAGCCACTACCACAACAATTAGCCAGTCACCGCGGATTTCATTTCAACAATTAAAGATACGAACTTCATAGTAGTAAATAAACTCATGTTTCCACTGCTCCATGCTGTGTTCACTCATGTCGACAATGTTTTAACGTCTAGGGGACGTGCTGTAATGAAATAAATAAAACATACTCCGGTGGCGGTGATGAAAAATACTTTAACAGACTTTCCACTGTGTTAGTTTCATTTGTGTGCTAAAAGTTTCACAGTGATTGACTCAGTTCATTTGATTTAGTTGATGTTCAGACAAGAAGATTTTGGTCTTATTTTGGTGACAATTTATTTGTTGACTCTGTCATGGTGATGAGAATGTTTTGTTTATGTGTTAAAATCAGCACTTTTATTGATAATTTATTTTGGTACTACAGACAACATTTTTTTTCATTTGAAGAATATAAGAAATACATTTTTTTTATTTGGGACCCATTGAATTTCCCAGGGACCCACTCAAATCACCACCTGTGCATCCCGAGGACTCACTACATTGAAAACCTATCAACATCACTGCTCACACACTCCACAGCAACAAGTGGTGCTGTTTATGTAGCATCAAATTTATCATACACGTATGAACGTTGGGCAGATGTCATCAAACTCACTACGAGTCTCAGTCGTGGTGACTACATCACTAGTAAAACCTAACACTTGTCTGTTGTGTCGGAGGTTTCATTTGATTCTCTTTGAACTGACCTGGTCTTAATCCACATCTACAGGATCATGTCTGTTGTCAGTGTTTGATAATTGACAGGCTGATAACTGGTGAAATTTAGCTCAGTCACAGGGCAGCTAACTGTTAGCTTTATCCACATTTCCTTTCAAATGTGTCACTGATCTTTGTTGATGTAAATCATAAAATATAAAACAAACTATGAACTGTTGAAGCTACGTGAGTCGGCAGAGTCGCAAAACGGCCTGTTACAGTGAAGAACAACGGCACTGTAAAACAACCAGTTAAAATAATAATGTTTGAATTTACATGTGAGTTTATTTAATATTGAAAACAACAAATGTATAATACTCATTACTAGGTTTTGTGGTCACTTGCAGACAGTCTGAGAAACACTGAATTTAAAAATGATGATAAAATGATATTTTAACTAATTTACTGGCGGACCACTGACCACTCTTTGAGAAAGGCTGACTCAGAGGAATTACTGTAAATTACAGCAAATGATGCCGAGGTACATCCCATCACTAAGGTATGAAACAGTCTGTACTGTTCTAGAGCAGATTGCTGGCGATCAATTTTTGCTAGAAGAAAGTATCTGATTCAAATATTGAAAAACTGATCAGTGAATAAACGACTAGAACTTGTTCTATAATAATAAACAGAAGGAGCATGCACAGGTTTATCTGTTATTGATCAGGATTAGAACATTGACCATATCTGAACAGGTTGACCTGACCTGAGAGTCTCCAGTGCACAGTGTGGACTCTCCAGTCCAGCAGAGATCAGCTTCACTCCTGAATCCTGCAGGTTGTTGTTACTCAGGTGCAGGTGTCTCAGACTGGAGGACTGGGAGCTGAGGACTGAGGACAGAGCTTCACAGCTTCTTTCTGAGAGGTTACAGACACTCAGTCTGAAGAGATGATATGAACAAGAACAGAAATAACATTAGTACTCAAATAAAATCACACTTTATGTTTTTGGTGATGTGTAATCTCTTCTCATATTTTGAGTATTTGATGCTCTATTCTAAACAAGCTGGAGAGTTTATACCTGTACGTTTTATATGAAGCTGAAGAAGAAGAAAATCACTGAAAGTTTTTCAACAGTGAAAATTTAAATTCCTGATGAAATGGAGAAGAAGAAATAAAGAGATGAGAGAGGCTGTTTAAACACACCACTCAAGACAGAGGCAGTTAGCTTCAGCCAAGGACCAACCAACTTCTTTCAGCAATGTTCAGAGGGAGGAACATATTTTTCAGGCACGAATCAAACTCAGGACTTTCTGTTTTCTACATGTTTCATCTGTTTCCTCTTTAATTCATTTAAAAATAAATATGATTTACACGATTCTTGGTTTTAGGATTGTATCAGAGAGATGTAATTGTTCCCATCAAACCTGTTCTGGTCGTGTCTGCTGAAGCTGTGGCATTAAAACTGATTTAGTTCTATGGCGACTTGATTTATTTCAGTAAGGTGGACTATAGTATTGATCTGTTTCTGGTGTTCACTCCAGCACCATGTGCTGTTTTAACCACATGTTGTAGAATGAGGCACAGAGCTGCGGTTTACATGCATGACTTCATATCAGGGCAGTATTCAATATAACAGAGTCATATGTGTTTGGATTTAAATGAACACTGTATTAAAAATGATAAATTCAATAGTTATGATTAAAAATGATGTAAAACTTCTGATGAAAACTGTGAAACTGACAGTTTTCCTTAAGGACCAACTACTGCTGCTGGTGGGCCGATGACTAAAGGCCAGCTGTACTGTGATCTGTGACATCTGTCAATGTGGAGAAATATTTCATGTTGATTAATTCATTTGTTTTTCTCTCATCTTAAAATATAACAGAAACCTTTTCCATGAATCCAAATATCTGTGGACTTACAGAGCTTTGTTGGAGGCTTTGACCACTGGCAGCAGCTTCAGAAGAGCCTCCTCTGAAGCAGAGTATTTCTTCAGGTCAAACACGTCCAGATCTTCTTCTGAGGACAGTAAGATGAAGCCCAGAGCTGACCATTGAGCAGGAGACAGTTTATCTGTGGAGAGACTTCCTGATCTCAGGGACTGTTGGATCTGCTCCACTAGAGAACGATCATTCAGTTCATTCAGACAGTGGAACAGGTTGATGCTTTTCTCTGCAGAGGGAGTCTCTTCAATCTTCTTCTTGATGTACTGGACTGTTTCCTGATTGGTCTGTGAGCCACTTCCTGTCTGTGACATCAGATCTCGTAGGAGAGTCTGATTGGTCTGCAGTGAAAGACCCAGGAGGAAGCGGAGGAACAAGTCCAGGTGTCCATTTGGACTCTGTAAGGCCTCGTCCACAGCTCTCTGGTAGAAGAGTGTTGGTCCAGGTTTGTTTCTGAACAGTTTAGACTTCCAGGAGGTTGATTGTTCTTCTGACATCAGATTGAGTCCAGA